CTGACCAGCCATAGCAAACTCAGGGAGGGAGTTCATATGAATCACCAAAAGAGCACAAAGAAAAAAAAAGATTTGACACATAAAAACTTATGTCTAAAAGGTCAGCTGAAGGTTGCGGACGCATCAATAATTAAACAATTATTCAGTATGGTATCTTGACAGACATTGAACAACAAGAGAGCTGAGTCTGGGGGGTGGGACAGGCATGGCTGGGCTGTAGCAACCAACAGTAAGAGCCGGAATGATTGTGGGTCAGTCAGGCAAGGCTGCTGTTCCTGCCAGGACAGGAGGTGGACCAAACTGGGCTGAGACAAGCACGCACTGTTGTACACAAGATCTGCCACTTGGGGTGATCAAATAGAGGAGCTCTACAGTTGCTAAGACTGCAATCGACAGCATGCCCAGATGCTCAGATGGGATACGACAGTCCGTTGGAGCCTACAGAGGACATCTAGTACCATGACAGAGGATGGAGGATAGAACAAATTGGAAAACTTTCTCAGCAGAAAGTTGACAGCAAGTAAACTGGGTGAATGGAGACGCTAACGTGGACTATGTCAGCCAATGGACACTGGAAGGACTTCCTCATCCTTGGAGCAACAAAAATCAACAGCATTTCAGAATTACTGAGAGTACTTGAGCAGAGCCTCAAGAGAACCTGAGATGACACCGGGTAGCTAGTCCCCATCCCCAGGTACTGATGCAGTTAGCATGCTGGGTGCATTTTCTCCCCTTATCTTCCACTTCCCCCAGTTACAGGAAGAAGAAAAAGAAACTTGAAAACAATGGTCTCATCCACTTTTCCCTAACTGTTGACCCTTCCCACCCTAATCAGTGGTCCACATGGACATGCATCCTTCTCAACTACCTAAACATCATTAAAAAAAAAACTTAAAAAAGAAAGAAAGAAAGAAATAGGGATGAAAGTTGCTTTCTCAAACTGAAAGTGGTCTTGCTTTTTGCTTCTGCAAGCATACACCCAATGAACCCATCAGTATTAGTTTAAAAGGCTGTCCTTTTTCTCTGGATTGTTTTTTGGTTAGGTTATCAAAAATCACTTCTGGGATTTCTATCCGGTTCCATTGCTGTTCTTTGCTTTTTGACCAATACCAAGCTGTTTTGATTACCACTGCCCAGTAGCACACCTTGAAGTCTAATCATGTGAGTCCTCCAGTTTTGTCTTTGTTGTTTAACATAGCTTTGGCAGGGCTTGGTGCAATGACCCAGTGGCTAAATCCTCACCTTGCACACACTGGGTATTTGTATCTATTTCTCTTTGTAATTCTGCCTATCCAATAAAATTAAACAAATATTTTAAGATAGTTTTGCCTATTCACAATCTCTTTTCATATAAATTTTAGCATTATCTTTTCTAGCTCTGAGAAGAATGTTTTTCGAAATTTTATTGGAACTGTATTGAATCTGTAGGTTACTTTTGGTAATATGAACATTTTGATGTTGATTTTAACAATCCAAAAATATGGAAAATTTCTACATCTTTTGATGTCTTCTATTTGTTTTTTTTAATATTTTGTAGTTTGAATTGCAAATGTACTTTGCAATGCTGGTTAGATTTATTCTAAAGTATTCAAGTTTCTTTGGTAGTATTTTGAATAATACTGATCTTAGAAGTTCTTTCACAGGTCTGGCATGATGGCTCAGTAGCTAAATCCTCACCTTGTATATGCCAGGATACCATATGGGCACTGATTCACGTCCCATTCAGCTCCCTGATTTTTGTCCCTGATTTTGAGAACAGCCCAAAGCCTTGGGACCCTTAACCCACGTGGGAGACCAAGAAGAAGCTCCTAGCTCCTGGTTTCAGGTCAGCTCAACTCTGGCTGTTGTGGCCACTTGGGGGTGAACCAGTGCACAGAAAATCTTTCTCTCTGTTTCTCCTACATTCTGTAAATCAGCCTCTCCAATAAAAAGAAATAAAATTTAAAGAAATTTTTAATAAAAAAGAAGCTCTTTCTCAAGCATGAGTTGTTTGCATATACTAAAGCCACTGAGTTACGTCTGTTAATTTTTGCATCTTGCTACCTTTCCAAACTCTTGTTTTCCAATAGTCTCTTTGTTGAGTCTTTGGCTTCCCATATGCAATTGTCATCTGTGAACAGAGATAATTTAACTTCCTCATTTTTAATTTATAATTTTTTTTATTTCTTTTTCTTACTTACATATTTTCCCCATTCAATATGATGCTGACATTGGGATTTTCATATATAGCTTTGATTGTGTTGAGGAATGTTTCTTCTATGCCTAATTTGCTTAGGGTTTTAGCATGAAATGGTGTTGAATTTTATCAAATGCCTTCTTTGCATCTGTTGAGATGATCGTGTAGATTTTATACCTCATTTTGTTGATGTGGTGTATCACATTTACTGATTTGTGCACATGAACCATTCCTGCGTGCTCTGGATGAATCCCATCTGATCTAGATGAATGATCTTTCTGGCATGTTATATTTCAATGGCAGTAATTTGTTGAGGATTTTTGCATCTATGTTCATCAGGGATACTGGTATATAGTTCTCTTTCTCTGTTGTGTCTTTTCCTGGTTTTGGGAATTAAGGTGATGGCCTCATAGAAAAATTTGAGAGGATTGCCTCCTTTCCTGTTGTTTTGAACAGAGTATGAAGGATTCGAGTTATTTCTTCTTGGAAAGTTTGGTGTAACCCAGCAGAGAATCCACCCAGTCCTGGAATTTCACTGTTGGGAGGGAGTTAATTATTTATTCAGTCTCTATCCTAGTTATAAGTCTATTTAGGTTTGTAATATCCTAATGTTTCAGTAAAGTATATGTGTCCATTAACCTATCCATTTTTTCTAGATTTTCTAATTTATTGGCATAGTTGTTTGCAGTATTTTCTAATTATTCCTCAGATGTCCATGGTATCTATTGTATATTTCTTTTTTTTTATCTCTGCTTTTATTGCATCTTCTCCCTTCTTTTTCGGTTAGTTGGGCAAATGGCAGATCTATTTTGATATTGTAAAAAAAAAAAGTAGTTCTTCATTGGATTTCTATGGAGGGTTTGTTTCAAATTTGCTTATAGTCCTTCTCTAATTTTAAGTATTGATTTATTTCTGTTAATTTTGGGTTGTTTGTTGTTTTTCCAGATCCTAAAGATGTACTGATAATTCATTTACTTGGTGCCTTTCTAGTTTTGGGGGACTTTTGTTGTTTGTTTGTTTGTTTAGGTTTTACTTATTTTTATTAAAAAGGTAGGTCAGATTCATGGAGTGAAGGAGACACAGAGAGGAAGATCTTCCATCTGCTGTCTCACTCCCCAAATGACCACAATGTCCAGAGCTGAGCCAATCTGAAGCCAGGAGCTACAGTGATTCAAAGCTGGGAACAAGATTTTGGGTCTCCCAGGTGGGTGCAGGTACAAGGCTTTGGGCCACTATCTACTGATTTCCCAGGAAATAAGCATGGAACTGGATGGGAAGTGGAGCAGCCAGGACATAAACTAGCACACAAGCAAAATCCTGGCACTTGAAAGGTGAGGATTTAGCCATTGAACCATCATGCCAGGCACTCTAGTTTGTTGATATAGGCACTAATTGCAATGAACTCTAAGTACTGCTTCTGCTGTTACCTCATACATGTTGATGTGTTGTATTGACATCTTATTTCCATTAATTTGCTTTCTTTCACATTTCTTCTATGACCCATCATTCAAACAGAAGCATGTTATTAGGTCTCCAAGTGTTTGCATATATTCTGGAGCATTTTGACTTGCTGGCCACCAGCATCATTCCATCATGGTCTGAAAAGTGAATCATAATATTGAATAGTGGTATCATTATTACTCTTTTGGATTTGTTGAGGCTTGTTTTATGGACTATCATAAGACCTATTTAGGATAAATGTATGCATTGATGAAAAACTTTTTTTCTGTGTCTGTATGAAGAAACACATTTGTGGTATCGGATTATGTGGACCCTCTGTGTGGAGCAGATTTGTGGCCTTACTGAATGCATGCCCAAATGGTTGCTTCTTCCTGCACCATCCTTTGTCACATTGTAGATAATCCTTCACTCTGTGCACAAGACATTCACAAGCTGCCAACTGAGTGTCCCTGGAGTGGCAACATGGAGTGCACACTCCACTTCACCTACTCATCCACCTGTAGGCGCCCCATCATCTAGTCTCCACATGTGTCCAAACACCACATGGGTAGATAGTGTGATTCAACATCTGCTGCCCCAGCATGTACCTTCTTACCTGCATCTTGGAACTCTCAGGTCTCAGGCAAGAATTTGGGGTGCTAATTCACTTTCTCATTTTCTCCAGGTGTTCCTCAGCTGTCCAGTGAGTTCTGTTCTACCAATCTAACAATATCTCTCATCCAAGACTGCACTTCTTCTGCCTCTTCTGTGCAATCCCTTCTTGCCAAAATCTGTGTGTTCCTACCCTATACAGCTATCTTTGATCCTCTCTGATTCATTAAAATTATTTCATATATATTTTTACTTCCAAATAAACAATATTAAATCAAATGGTACTTAATATTATGATTCACTTCAAACTTAAACCATCATTTATAGGTGAGTGCACAGAAGTTTACCACTCAGCAGTCATCAGTCAAAACTGGGCTTCATGCTAGATGACGTATCTTCCCATCCCTGAGATTGTAGCCCAACTGAGAAAAACTACATCTTGCTTGGCAAGAACACACAAACTCTGACTAGGCTATTCAAGCATGACTAGGAGAAAAATGACTTTCACCTGGTTCAGCAATAAAAGCTTGTAAAATTGGTAATTTTTCATCCCTAAAGTATCTCTGCATTGGCTCAGCCCCCATGAACTCCTCCAAGTTTGTGGGTTGTGCCTTTGGAAGCCTGGCTACTCTGAACTTTAGGATGGAGAGATCTTTGGAGCATGAGCCCCCTCTTCAAAGCCAACAATAAAACTTTCTACACAATAAAATATGAATAAAATGGTGTTATGCAATGATTCTTTCCCACTATTGATTCTACCCATCTCCTTTAGGTATTCCTCAGCACTAGACGAGGAGCGTGGATCTTACACCGTGTTTGGGACAATGGATATCCCATGGATAGTTCATTTTTTACTCGGTTCAATAGTTTCCTGCATAAGATATTCACTACATCCTTCATAAATAATCACCTAGAAAAGATCTTGAATTCACGATTCAATCATGCACTGTATGGCCTGAAGCCTCAGCACAGGTATGAGAAAGGGTCTTAATGTATGTGATTATGTGTGGTTGCAAAAAGGAATTTGTCCTAAATATAGTTGAATTTCTGGCAATTAGTGATTGTATATATCACATCATACATATTATAGCAGGTAGGCATGAAGCATGAGTTTTCTTCCTAATATCATTCACTCATTCTTTCAACAGTAATTTAATATTTATTTTCTATGTGCCAAGCACAAAAAAAGCAATACACCACCCCCTCCATGGCCAGGCTTCAAATGTAGCAGAGAAAGAAATGAAAATAGATTCAAACAAGGAAATGTGGTTGTGCCCATGGGAGGTTACAGACTCAAAATGAGACATAATCAGTTCCGTCAGACTGGAGAGGAAACGGTAAGACTGACTGCAGAGAAGGGGAGCTAGGCCCCTCAGTGTGTACACACCTGCCATATGATATTCATCTTTTGGGGACTGTTTCTTTTTTCACTGATTATCATGTTTTCCAATTGCATTCCTTCAGTCACAAAGAACAAGATTTTCTTTTTTATGGCTGAGTAGTATTCCATAGTGCAGCTATACCACCTTTTCTTTATCTAGTCACCAGCTGATAGGCATCTACATTGAATCCACTTCTTAGCTACTGTGAATTGAGCTGTTATAAACACAGGGACAGATAACTCTCACACACTGCTTTCACTTCATTTGGATAAATTCTCAGGGGTGGAATGGCTGGATCATATGATAGATCTATTTTTTATACCTGAGGAATCTCAGTACTGTCTTTCATGGTGGTTGCAATAGTTTACATTCCTACCAACAGTGGAATAGAGTATATTTTTCAAACATCCTTGCCAGCATTTATTCTTTTTGTTTTCAGGTGATAGCCATTCTAACTGGGGTGAGGTGAAATCTCATTGTAGTTTTGTATTTGCATTGCCTTCATAGCTGGTGAACCTGAGTGCTTTTGCATATATCTGCTGGCCTTGTGAATTTCATCATTTAAGAAATGCCTGTTCATGTCTTCTGCCCATTTCTTAATCTATTTCTTTTGCTGTTTGGATTTACTTCAGCTTTTTATAGATCTTAGATATAAATCCACTCTCAGTAGCATTGTTTTCGAGTATTTTTTCCCATTCTTGTTGGCTGCCTGATCATTTTGATGATGGTTTCCTTTGCAGTGCAGAAACTTCTTAGCTTGGTGTGGCCCCAGTTGTTAATGTTTGTTTAATTATTCTTCTAGAGTCCTTTCCAAGGTGTCTTGGCTTATGTGTTGCAAAGTGTTACTGATACTTTCCTCTAGTAATTTGATGATATCAGGTTATAGATCTATGTCTTTGATCCACTAAGAGTTCATTTTTGTATATACTGTAAAACAGGGTCTTGCTTCCTATGTCTACATACATAGATCCAAGTTTTCCAAAATCAAATATTGAAGAGACTGTCTTTTTTTTCTGGTTGGATTTCAGGGTTTTCTTTTTATCGAGCTTCACTGTAGATGTGTGGGTTAATTTGGGGGATTTATATTGTATTCTGTTGTTTTTATAGTATCATTGTTTTGCTTACAATTCCTCTGTAGTACATTTTTGGGGGCTGGTATTGTTTTCATTGTTTAAAATTGTTTTATGTCGTGTTTCCATGTGAATTTTAACACCATTTTTTTTCTAGATCTGAGAATAATGTCATAGATATTTTGATTGACATTTAATTTAATCTATAAATTGATTTTGATGATGTTAATTCTACTAATTTTTGAACTAGGGGGGTTTTTCATGGTTTGGTGTCTTGTCTATACCTTCAATTTTCTGTAATTTTCATCATAGATACTCCTAACATCTATGAATAAATTTATTTCATGGTATTTAAAGATTCTTCAGTTATTGTGAATGTGACTGAACTTTCAAGGTCTTTCTCAGCCAACAAATTAATGTGTACACAGACACTATTGAATTGCTGGTTTTATATCCTATAACTTTACCAAACTTTCGTAGGAGTTCAGATAGTCTCTTGGTGGAGTCTTTGGTCCACCTATACAGCTGGACTTTCCGCTTTCCATCTGCTATCTTTTTCTTGCCTAATGTCTCTAGCTAAAACTTCCAGGACTATACTGAATAGGAGCAGTGAGAATCAGCATCCTATTCCAGCTCTGGCTCTTAGCAGAAATGTCTCCAACATTGCCCTTTCAATGTGATACTACTGGCCATGAGTTTTTGTTGTTGTTTTTTTTAACATATTTCCTTGATTGTATTGAGGAACAATCCTACTGTGTCCTATTTGCTTAAGTTCTTTATCATAAAAGGATGTTGTGTTTTATCAAATGTTTTGTCTAACTTTATTGAGATAATCCTAGGGTTTTTATTCTTCATCTTACCACTGTGATGCATTAAATCTGTTGATTTGTCTATATTGAACCTACTCTGTATACAAGAGATAAGTCTAGCTTAGTCAACATGAATGAGCTTTCTGATGTGTTGTTAGATTCTGTTAGCTAACATTTTGTTGAGAAGTTTTCATCAGGGATACTGATCTGTAGTTCTCTTCCTTTTTAGTGTGTTTTTCTGGTTTTGGTGCTACAGTGTTGCTGACGTCATAGTTGGAATTTGGGAGGAATGTGTCCCTTTCCAGTGTTCTGAATAGTTTGAGAAGAATTGGATTTAGTTCTTCTTGAAAAGTGCAGTGGGTTTCAGCAGTGAAGCTGGCTGGGACTGGGTTTTTTCTTTGTTGGGAGGGTCCTTAGTCTTTATTCATTACATATGCTATGTAGGTTTTCTATGGCAACATGACTTGATTTAGCTAAATTACACGTTCCCAGAAATTGACCCTTTTTTTCTGATTTTCCAATTTGCTAGCATATAGCTGCTTGTAATAACTCCTGATGACTTTTTGTATGTTTGAGTTGTCTGTTACTGTATTTCCTTCTTGATCTCTGTTTTATTGATTAACATATTCCTCCTTTTTTTTTTTTTTTTTGCTTAATTGGGCTAATGGTGTACTGATTTTATGTATTTAAAAAAAAAACACAAGCTCTTCAATTCACTTATGTGTCGTTTTTATGTTTCAGCTTTGTTTCTTCTCTTATTTTGAACTGATCTGATTTTTTCTAACAACTTTGCAAATGCTTTTCTAGGTTCTTGAGATGCACTGATGGGTCATTTATTTTATGCCCTTCTGATTTCTTAATATAGGCATTAATCACTGTGAACCTCACCTAACACTGTTCTTGTACTATCCCCTAAGTTTTGATAGGTTGTGCTATCATTGTCATATACTTCCAAGAGTTGTTGTTGTCGTTGTTTAATTTCCTCTATGGCCCACTGTCTATTCAATATTTGGTAGTGTGGTAATATATTGCTCATTCTTCATGATTTGCATATTTCCAGAAATTCTTCAGTTGTTGATTTTCACCTTTATTCCATAGTTGTCAGAAAAGACACACGTTTTCAGTGTTTTAAATTTTTTCTGAGGCTTGCTTTATGGCCCAGCCTGTGATTGAACTTAGAGTAGGTTCCAGGAGCCAATAAACAGAATGTACATTCTATTCTGTCTGCAGCTGTCTGATGGAAAGTTCTGTAGGTCTCCATTAGGTCCATAGTATAGATCTGCTCTGTTTCTTTGCTAATTATCTGAGTAGTTGTTCTGTGCAACGATGAAAGTGGGGTGCTGAAAAACATTCCCCATTATTATTTTATTGGAATCTATGTCTGCCTTTTGATTCAGTAACAATTGCTTTAGATGGCCAAATGCCCTGGTATTGGGCATATATACATTTCTGTAGTTGCTTCTTGTTGAATTGATCCCTTGATTCATACGTGATACCATTCTTCATCTCTTTCAATAACTTCTGTGTTAAAGTCTATTTTGTCAGATAGTAGAAAGGCTACACCTGCTTCTTTTTTCCTTTTCATGGTCATGTAATTCCTTTTTCTAAACTTCCAGTTTGTGTATCTTTGTTGGTGAAGTGTGTTTCTTATAGGCAGCATACAGATTGGTCTTGTTTCTTAACCAGTTAAGCCAGTCTGCATATTTTGCTTGGAGAATGTCTTTGATTTTTATCTTATGATTGGAGAGGTTAATCCATTTGGATTCATGGCTATTATTGAAAGGTAATGACTTGATCCTATGATTTTTCCATAACTATTGTCATCATTTACTTTAGATTTCCATTTTAATTTTTCTTTCTTCTTCTTCTTTTTTTTTCAACTTAGATGCTTCAAAAAACCTGTGTTAAAGATCAGAAATTATTTCTTCTATCTGGTCTTGTTTGTTGTTAAGGCTTTTTAAGGCTTTTTCTTCTAAGTTTAATTTATTGGGTTCTTCATTTCTGATACTGCTTGGTTCTTTTTTCAATATCTATCTTTTTGCTGAATTTCACTTAGCTGTCTAATTCCAGTTAAGTGCTTCTCTATATTTTGTTTTCTTTCTGGAGTGTGGAGCTTCTGAGGTGTGCAGAGCAGGTCCTGCTGCTACAGTGGGTACACCAGACACATGGAATTCTGGTCAATATCCAGCTTAGTAGCTGGCTCCCAGGAGGAGACGCCAAGCCACTGCCCAACTCCAAGACTTCAAGACTAGCCCTAAGCCCACATGCAGGGGGCAGGAGAACTGCTAGATCTACAAGAATGACTTCACCTGTTTTGTGCGGCTTTTCACTGGCTGTTTGCTGGGCTGGGTAGGTTACAGGAACCTAAGGTTTGACACACAGTGAACAGCAATGCTCCAAACTGGCAGCTTTCATGGGAAAAGCTAGAGCCCTGAGCCCCATACGGGGATGAGGCAAAGCACAAAAGCTCAGCTAGAGACTCCAGCAAGGAGGGGCAATTGTGCTGTGTTAGGACAGACGCAAAGCCCAGTTCAAAGCCACAGTAAGTCACAGTTGGGCTAGGTGGAGCACAGTAAGATAAAACGCCCAGGTAATGTGTTGGGAAGTGACAGAAAGCTCCAATAGCTGCTCCTAGGATGGGTAAGAATCCTAAGTGATACCAAAGATAGGTGTGGTGCAGTACCTCTGACTACTGTCAGTGGGAAGGGTTGGAGTAAACTGATATAGAGCTCAGTCCCCAGGCTTTCTTGTGCCAGAGGCAGCAGATTGACTTACCACTTGGAGTAAGCACATGGTCCCGACAATTTTTACTCATTCAGGTGCATGTAACATTCAGAATGCAGACACACTTTGTATTTCATGTTCAGATTCTACGGCAAATATCCACTCCCAGCACTCAGGGAGCTTTGGGCTTCCAAACATGGACTGAGTGGGGACCAGGGAACCCTGACTTAGGCCTGGTGTGCACAAGATTCACCTGCAAACAGCACATTTTCAATTGCTCCAGAGAGAGGAGAAAATGGTTAGAAGGATGATCCCTAGGAAAGTTCCCCCTACTTCCAGGGTCCTAAAGGATAAAACATCCCAGTTGCCCTGCTTCTACTCTCCACAGAGTGTTAAATGGGCTAAAACAATGGACTCATCTCTGCTCTTGCTCTGTTAGGCCCAGTTGCAATCAGAGCTCAGTCTGCCTTGCTAGACTGCAAGGATATCTCATAAATATTCTGGAGACTCCTGGGGAGAAGACAGACAGAGGCTTCAATCTCCCATTTCAGAATGGTTTACAATAGTGACTCTTCTCAAAGAGAGTGCCATGGCCCATGTTCTGGGTGCTGGGGAAGGGACAGCCCCAATTCCCTTCCTTCTGAAGCAAGGTGACTCTGAGATACTCAGGGAGCTTTTCTTACAGAACTCTTAGTCTGTGGTGCCCGAGTCCTCTCCAGTGAGGATGACTGACACAAGTGTTCTGCTAAAGCCCCTTCTAGAGGAGTTGCCTCTAGTCCTGAGACCAGGAATAAAGATGCTGTCGCCATCACCACTGCTTTGACGTGGTTCCTCTCTCCATGCTGTTACGCCCATGCTTGAACTGTATGCCCCTCATTCCCTTACTGCAATCTAGTACTCTTTCTTGGGGTTCTCATCCAAAACACAGCTGCTTTAGGTTTTCCCAGTCAAGGAAAATGATGCTAGGCTTCTCTGTTTGGCCACTGTGGCCATCGTAACTTTTAAAAAAATACATGGCGTTCTCAAATGTTCAATGTTCATCTATTTCCCTCTCTTCTGCCATTAATATCTAAGCTTCTAAACTCAATCAAGGAGGTCATTCTACCGCTAATTATAAAATACTTTCTCGCAGCATTGTTACTGCCAAATTTTTATCCGTTTGAGTCTCTAATCACAAATTTGTTTTCAACATGCTGACTGTAAGAGCCTGAATTTATTTATATGCTTGTAGTAAATATCCTTTTGCCGTCAGATTAATTGCAAGTTAAGTAACCTTGAACTTTTATTCTCTACACCTTCTTGTAAAGCTCCATAAAGGCAAACTCAGTTTTACACATTTTATACATATTTATTTGGCTTTTCTCTCTCTGTGCCTTTTTTCACATCCAATGCCTTGTTTTCAGTCCAAACCTTAACTATCTACAACACCCTGTTGTGTTTTTTTGTTTTGTTTTTTGTTTCTTGTTTTTTTACCAAGTAGTTCCTTCATCCTTACAGTAGAAGACTATCTGGGCAATGTGGTCACTTGATAGCCCTTTTCCTGAAAGAATCAGCGGAATTCTCTAAACGGAGTTTCTGGAAAGACTTACGTATGCCTGCAAAATGCATCCCCCTCATAAACATAAATCTTTGCCCTTTCTCAATCATCCTCTCTCAAACATTAATTCAATACCTGGAGCTAAGACAACAATTTACCCTTTAACAACAACTTGAGTGGGGGAATGACTAATTCTGCTGCAAATGTGCCATGGATCTATCCTGGAGATGGATTCTGCCCACCAGAGGTAACAATGTGGTTGGATATAAAATGAGGAGGGGAGGCTAAACATGACCTATGCGTGGTTTCAATTCTTGCTTCCTAACCTCTTACCCTTTTCTTTTTTTTACTAGTTCTAAATACTTTAAAATAGTTAACTGGTAGAACCAGTAAGTATTATGAAATAGTACACAAGATGTAGGTAAGTTCTCAAGATCAAATATAAAATTAAAATGTTGGGGCCTGGCGTGGTAGCCTAGCTGCTAAAGTCCTCGCCTTGAAATGCCACAATCCCATATGGGTGCCGATTCTAATCCCATCTGCCCTGAACCCATTTAGCTCCCTGCTTGTGGCCTGGGAAAGCAGTTAAAGATGACCCAGACCCAAAGTCTTGAGATCCTGCACCCATTTGGGAGACCTGGAAGAAGCTCCTGGCTCCTGGCTTTGGATCAGTGCAGCTCTAGCCGTTGAGGTTGCTTGGGGAGTGAATCATCAGATGGAAGATCTTCCTCTCTGTCTCTCCTGCTATCTATATATCTGCCTTTCCAATAGAAATAAAAATAAATATTTTTTTTTAAAAAAAAGAAAGATAAAAATGTTGAACCGAGGTCATGACGAAAGCATTTAGGGCACAAAATTCCTCTCTTTCAAAATGACAGGCAGAAAATTGAACAAACGCAGATTTAGAAAGGAAATGCCTATTGCCACCTTCAATCCTTTGTCGCATACATTTCTTTCTTTTTGCATATTGCCTTTACCATTTTTGCTTTTTATTTTAACACACAGACCTTTAAGCCAGCACCCAACGATCAGTGATGACCTGCCCAACAACATCATTTCTGGGAAAATCCAAGTGAAGCCCAACGTGACAGAGTTCACTGAAACAGACGCCATCTTTGAGGACGGCACCGTGGAGGAGAACATTGATGTGGTTGTCTTTGCCACAGGATACAGTTTCTCTTTCCCTTTCCTCGATAGTTTGGTGAAGGTTAACAATAACGAAGTGTCCCTGTATAAACTTATGTTCCCACCTGACCTGGAGAAGCCGACGCTGGCCATCATTGGTCTCATCCAGCCACTGGGCATCGTCCTTCCTATTGCAGAACTCCAGGCACGCTGGGCTGTGCGAGTGTTCAAAGGTATGCACAAAGATCTGAGTTCTCCTTTAGGTAATCCTCCACTTGTTCTCTCAGCAAACTGTATGCCTCCTGCGCGTAGGAATCTTGATAGACTCTGAATCCTCTCCCCTAGGGCTGAGCAATTTGCCCCCAATGAAGATCATGATGGCAGACATTGCCCAGAGGAAAAAGGACATGGAAAAAAGGTAAGGGAATGAAGAGTTGTGGCCAACTGGGTGCCTTGCCAGGACTCATGGAAGCCCTGCTCTAATATCTAAACCCACACATTCCTCTTCCTCTCAACTCACTGTTATTTCTGGTATCTCCCCCACTGTGTTGTTGCTTAATATCAATGCCCCAATTCAGCGATACAGCATGATATCACATTTTTATTCTATAAATCATGTTAAGTCTTCGTTGAAAACCTCAACTTGCATCAGCTGACATTTCTTCTGGGTTGCCTCCCAAGAAACACCTCACAGTCATTCCCTCTGAATTCCCCACATGAGTTCTTAGACGCTTTCAGGACAGACTTACATTTTCATACATTTCCCTCTCGTTGCCTTCAAAAGTGTTCATCTTATTTTCTACCATGAGCCTAGACTTTAAGGAAACAAAAGCTGGGAGGGGAGGTATCTTGCAAGGAAGGTGCTTCTTTGGTCACACAACCAAAATGTCTCTGAGACCAGGAAACACAAAAGTCATGGCCACTTCCATAGACAGTGGGGGGAAAGGAAACAGAAAGAACACGTACAAACCAATATTTAATAAATTACTTGCCATGATATCTCAGGATTTTAAAGCCTCTGATATGTATGTGTGTTTGCCTATATAAAAAAAAATTGAATTCTTTACCATTTGTTTATAACCCCACCCCTACCTACATTGTATAATCAACTGTACAAGCTATTAGCACAGAGAAAACCACTGAAAAGCATTCAAATTTCATTCTCATTAACATTTAGAAGAAGTGAAATGTTTGTAATTCATTCATTAGACATGTATTATTCTGCACAGTGGGTATTAGCCTAGCAGTGAAGTCACTGGTTAACATGCTGTATCTTCCATCTAAGTATTTGTGTTCAGCAGCCTGTTCCAGCTTCCTATTCCTGCCTCCTGCTAATGCAGATTCTGGGAGGCACCGATTATAGTTGAAGTAATTGGGTTCCTGCCTTCCATGTGAAGAGACCTCCATTGAGTTCCTGTGTCCTGGTTTCAGCCCAGTCCTGGCTCTTGCAGGCATTTGGGGAAGCAACCAGAAGATGGGTTCTTTCTCTCTATTCACCCTTTATATTAAAAAAAAAAAACTTTAAAATTTTATTTTGTGTCTGTTACGGTGGGCATATTGCAGAGCATTTCTAACAGAATTATGTTTAAGGGGAAGTGGAGAGTTACATAAAACAACAGCATTGTTGTTCCTTCTTATTTAGCCAACTGAAACAAACCTTCTGTAGTCAAATGAGAAGGCAGTCTCTGTACTCTGTAATCAGTACTCTGGACTAAGAGCAAGTTCCACTTCTGTGGAACAAATGTTGTGTTCCCGTATCAGAAGTCCCATCTCCCAGTCAGCCCCAAGATGAGATCATGCATCCTACCTATGCTTCTATTGTCCAGCAAGTGAGCACAGGACTAGACATCCATAAAATACCATCTTCTTATCCCCCAAATTGCACCTCTTTCTCAAGACTAGTTACTTCCAAAAGAAGAAACTATCATAATAAATCTAGAATCTGCAATATCTATAGCACAAATGGGATTTCTAGCATCCCGCAGTCCCTGGATACACACTGTGCAATGCTCGTTCAGAGCTGAAGCACTGGGGGTCAAAGGAGAGCTGCTCAAGCAGCACTGTAGTCGCTTAGCTGCACAGGAGGCTCCCTCAGGGCACCCTTGCCTCATTGCAGCCACCAAGCTCCTGGGACCATGCTGTCAACGACTACTTGATAATTCATTCCTGGTTGACTGCAAACACACAGGGGACCAGAGTGCGAGCTGTCCATCCATCTGCACAATGAGCAGGGACATATTTAACTGAATCACAGTCCTTCATTGGTAAAGTGAACATCTCGAAGGATCAGGGCAGCCGAACAAACCAGCAAAGTGGTACATAGTGAAGTCACCCTGGTACAATCATGAATGAAGAGACACACATGATGCCTCTGCCCTCCCATGCTGAGTGATGCTGGGTGGTCAGTTCAGTTTTCTAGTTTACAGTTGCCTTGCCCCTACCAGATGCTTAGATCATGCGCTCCACGCTCTTGCCTTCTCTTTCAGGTATGTGAAGACCCCCCGCCACACCATCCAGGTGGATCACATTGAGTACATGGATGAGATCGCCATCCTGATGGGGGTGAAGCCCAACCTGCCCCTTCTCTTTCTCTCAGATCCAAAGCTAGCCTTGGAGGTTTTCTTTGGTCCATGTACCCCATACCAATACCGCCTACAGGGGCCAGGGAAATGGGATGGGGCACGGCGAGCCATCCTGACCCAGAGAGAACGCATCACCAAACCCCTCAAGACTCGAGTCACTAGTGAGGACTGCCACTCATCCTCACAGCTTTCTTGGAGAAAGATGATACCAATTAGCCTGGCATTTCTGACTGCTGCCTTCACATACTTCAGATACATTCATCAGTTTAGACAGAAATGAATCCATGACTGAGCGCGGGAAGGAAGAAAAATCATGTAATAGCTTTCCACTCCTCCTAAATCATCTTACTCCCTCAGCTTTCAACTCAGCTTTTTGCTAACACATATTGTGGGCAGCAGCAGACAATGTGCTCAGGCCTCTGCCACCCACACAGGAGACTTGGACTGAGTTCCTGGCTCCTGCCTTTGGCCTGGCCAACTCTATCTGTTGCAACCATTTAGGGAGTAAACCACTAGATAATAAATCTCCCTTACCCTACTCAACCCTTTTAAATAAAACTGAAAATAAACAAATTTGAAAAAAAAATTTCGAAGAATGACTTGGATGTATTTTTAAATAACAAAATGTTTAGACAGACTTTACAAATAAATTTGCCCTTAAAAATGGTTCCTGGAACCAAGTGGGAGACCTAAAAGAACTGCCTGGTACCCAGCTTTGAACTTTTGCAGCCATTTAGGGAGTGCCAGTAGATGCAAAATCTCTCTCACACACACACATCTCTCACTCTGTAACTTTGACTTTCAAATAAAATAAATAAATATTTTAAAATAATGGGTATACCTCATATCTCTGTGTAATACAGCATCATGAATGTTCAAGAAAACATTAAAAGGAATCATGACTAAATTTTAGTAGCTTTGTAACATAAAATATAATGAAAATGGCTTCACAAATTCAAACCTTCCTTATAGAAATTTATAAATAGAATCTTACTTAGCCACTGATTTTACTTTCAAATTTATCCTCTCAAAAAAAAAAGTCTATTGAATTCTTGCTCAGACAGAAATGTTTCAATCTACTACACAAATCGTAAAAGATACGAGCTAAAATATTTTAGGTTTCAACTCTCTGGAAATGAAACCAAAGTTTTCCCTTAAATTCACTTCTCTTACATTCATTTGTAAACAACTGTTTTGAAGAAGCAAGTAATAAGCAATAGAGTCCAGAAATGTCAACGGATTGCTCTAAGCTCCTACTACTTAGAGATCATCACTGCACACTATAAGGAGCAAGCCCACACTGATGCCTGAGCTACAAACACAACACCGGCTTTGCCTGGCCTGGGGAGCAGCCTGCTTCTGTGCAGGACAGGGAGTTGTCAGTGTGGATACTCTGAGAAAACCAAAAGGGCACCGTGCTCCAAAGATCTCCTCTGCCTGTCGACTACGTGACACCCCCGGGCTCTGTTCTGAAGGCCAGCAGTTACTCTCTCTGCCTTTCACAGAATGAAACTGTGAGCAGTTGAATGGGATGAAGGATCAGGCTTGAGCAACCTGTGCAGTTTTAGCAAAAAGAAACGTCTTTTAAAATATCGTAGAAGTATAACAAAGAAACCTAAATATTTGCTAAGTCTTTTGAAGAGAAACTGGAAGTTTGTGTTTTTGCACATCTCTCATCGCAGCTTAAGTGGCATGACGACTTTTTGTTGCGCAACTGAAATGGGCCACCTCGGAGTGACAACAGCAACACCATTACTAACAACAGAAGTTACTGAGAACTGCTTCAGTAATGAATTCTCAGAACCGTTGCCTGTGGCATCTCCCACGGAATAACTGGTGCTTCACTACGTGATGAAGATAAGGATGTTGGCCAATTCAGTCATGTAAGTCTTTAACAAAAAGAAGTGAGGTAGGAGAAATCAGAGGAGAGGCACCCAAAGGAGCAGAGGCTGAGGGACCACGGGCCAGGGAGAGCATGCAGCGTGCAGAAGCCAGGCAAGGAAGCAGCAGGTTCGGGGCTAGGTCCTTTACAAAGATCTCCATGACTCCTTGCTGGCCGCGGGAGACGTTCGACCTCCCGAATGACAAGATGATGAACTCGTGTTCTCTAAGCCACTTCACTGGTGATGTTTGGTTACAGTACCAAAAGGAGACTAGTGTAAGTGCAGAGAGACATTAATCAATGAATGGAACAAAAAATGCTAAAAAAAAAAATGGTTTAAAAAAGATGTCTTGTATGCAAAGTAGTACATAGGTGAACCTGAAGAATATGCCTTAATTTAAAATAGATTAAAACCCTTAAAATTCTTTATATTAATATAATTTGGCTTTAAAATACTTATATTTACTCATGTCAATAACAAAAAATTGATGTTAATAATTAAAATGTACAGTAACTTTAAAAATATCTTACTTGGTGTTGGCATTGTGGCATCGTGGGCAAAGCCACCCTCTGCAGCATCCCATATGAGCACCTGTCGGAGTCCCCACTGCTCCAGTTCTGATTCAGTTCCCTGCCTGGGAAAAGAGCAGAAGATGCCCATGTGTCTGAGTCCCTGATCCCACATGGGTGACCTAAAAGAAGCTCCTGACTCCTAGCTTCAGCCCTGGCCCAGCCCTGGCCTTTGAGGCCATCTGAAGAGTGAACCATCAATTGGATGATCTCTTTTTCTGTCTCCCCTACTCTCTCTGCCTTTTAAAAAAGCAAAAATAAATCCTCACTTTAAAGATGCACTTATTTATTTGAGAGGCAAAGTTACAGAGAGGAGAGGGAGAAAGATGGAGATCTTTTATCTGCTGGTCCACTTCACTGATGGCAACAACGGATAGGACGGGGCCGGGCTGACGCTAAGAGTCTGTACCACCACAGAGGTCTGCTATGCGGGTAATGGTGACCCAAGCACTTGGACCCATGTCTGTTTCTTCCCCAGGCACATGAGCAGGGAGCTTGAGTAAAAGTAAAGAAGCCAGAACTTGCACTAGTGCTCAGATGTGGGATGCTGGTATCATGTGCAATTACTTAACACACTGCAATGTACTGCTGGACCCCAAAATCAAAATTCTTCACTCTTCAGTCTTGTAGTTTTTCCTGCATGCTTTGTAAGCAAAATCCACCCCCCCCCATTGGATTTTATAATCATTCTCAGTAAATTCCAAATGAACACTAGATGAGCTTTTTCTCTAGAAGAATAGAAATCTAAATTTACTAGGGCAAGTTGCAAAGTATTTCTAACATGTGTTAGCTTATTTCTACATGCATGTATGGCTACAGACTGTTTTAGGGCCGATGTGTGGCACGGTGTGTTATGGCACCATCTGCAAATCAGCATCTCCTGAGCCTGGCTGATCCACTTCTGCTCAGCTCGCTGCTAATGCACCCGGGAAAACAATGGGAGGTGACCCAGTGCTTGAGCCTTTCACACCCATGTGAGAGATCCAGATGGAGCGACAGGCTCCTGGTTTTGGCCTGGCCCAGCACTGGCCATTGTGGTTATTTGAGGAGTATGTAACAGTAGCTAGAATCAATCTTTCTCTCTCTCTCTTCCTCCCACTCCTCCTATCTCTGTAATTCTGTTTTCACATAAATAAATCTATTGTTCAAAAGATTATTTAAAAAATGATATTAGCCTATTTTTGAAAATATGAACCACCTTGTGGGAAGAAAAGTGGAGGCTGAGAGATGGTTAGAAAACGAAAGGTTTCCCATTGAACTGTGTTTCTATATATACAGCTTGTTATCCAACAGCCTCTGCTAAGCTAGTTTCGACATGCTTGGCAGAACTCTCATTTTCCTGGTCTCCAGAATCTTCTGCAACTTGCACCACAACAAATTATTTGTTGCTTTTTTTTTTAATTTAAAATTTTCCATAGTAGGTTAATTACTTTTTAATATTTGCTTATGAATGCATAAAATGCGGGGTTATGCAGTTGTCGTTCCTGATCAGGTAATATATGCATTTAAAGATAAGATATGCTCAAACAACTGGTAAATATTGACTGCTTTGATATATAGTACATGTTTGAACAGCAGCGTCGAGTCAGAGAGATCCTAACTCACTAATATTGTTTTGTAATGCTACATGCATTTCCAGAATGAGCTGTTTTCAGATAAATCATTACTCCTGACTGCTAATGGCTCTTTAACATCAGGAGCCCTGAAGAATACAGTACATCTGGAAGTGCCTGCCAACTCTTCCACACCCATCCATTTGCTAGGTTTGTCTGTAAAAAAAAAAAAAAAAAAAAATTGACTGACACAGCAAGAATGTAGATTTATGGCCACCAAGCTATATTTCAAAATACGCACACATTACATAATGTACACTTGGAGCAAACCAAGCTGGCTTCACATTTACTATTTCTTTTTCCTACTTTTGATTTTTCAAAGCTAAGTATAGGGTACAGTAGTTGTAGTCACCCTGTTATGCAACAGAATTCCACAGCTTCTCACTCCTATTTGACTGCAACTTCATACCCATTGGTCAATCCTTCCCCAGGCCCCTTTTTTGTTCCCAGCCTTCACTACACCAGCTTTCCTCCAGGACTCCATCCACAGCTCACTACACCCAGGTTCAGTCACCAGCTTCCCTCCTGAGCTGGAATCTCCTGTGTGTGCTTTCCTGCTGAATAGCTCCATAGGCACCAGACACATTCATTTTAAAAACTGAATTCATGGGCCAGGTGTGATAGCCTAATGGCTAAAATCCTTGCCCTGCATGCACTGGGATCTCATACGGGCGGTAATTCATGTCCCAGCTGTTCCACTTCCCATCCAGCTCTTTGCTTGTGGTCTGGGAAAGCAGTCAGTCAAGGATGGCCTAAAGCCTTGGGACCCTGCACCTGTGTGGGAGACACAGAAGAAGCTCCTGGTCCCTGGCTCCTGGCTCCTGGCTTCAGAATCACTCGGCTCTGGCTGTTTGCAGCCATTTGGTGAGTGAATCAGAAGATGGAAGATCTTTGTTTCTCCTTCTCACTGTAAATCTGACTTTGCAATAAAAAAATAAATGTTTTTTAAAAACTGAACTCATTTTATTTCTACATGACATACTCTTCTCCAATTGTTCTCCCACATCTGCACTTAAGAGCCATACCTTTCAAATGCCTTTGGGTTCTGATTATGCCATCCCCTGTCCGAGCCTTGCCAATTGTACTGCCATCATTATGGTTCAGCCTCTTCCAACTACTCATGTCAACTAGCAAGACAACCTCCTAACTAATTGTCAAATTTTGTTCCAACATATCATCTGAATCAATGCCATGGTTAGATCCAAAAGGAAAATT